TTCTGAAAGCTGAGGTCCTGTAGAATAAAAATATGGTAGGTACAATTTTTTACCTTGCACGTTTTTGTGCGCAAATGTTTATCAAACACGTATTTTTAGGAAAAAATAAACTAAATTAAAATTTAGTGCACAGAAACATAATATAATACCGAATATTTTGGTAAAATATGAAAGACGGGATCACGTCAGGTAAATAGATACTAAACATGTCAAGCCTTAAAATTGCATTCGCCTGTGAAGCCGCAAAAAAAGTAAATACCCAAAATTTCGCATAGGGAACATTTTAAACGCTTTTACCGCTCATCAGTTTAGTGCTAACAGTCATTGACAGTGCTAGAATTATTGCTCCCGCTCCGATGTTCACGGCGATATGTAACATGTGTAGCGCAATTGTTGTTTTCGCACGTAGGCGGACCGACGAGTGTTTGCGCGTGTATGTGCGTGCACGTACGGGGGGCGGGGGACTTAAAAATTGTTTTTTTCATTTTATCATTTTTCTTTTATGTTACCTTTATTTTTAAAACTTTTTAACACTTAATTTTTTTTTTTCCACTAACCCTATTGCTATTAGATAGGGAGCTAACAAGCACCCTATCTAATAGCAGATAGGGTGTGACAGGTCCTCTTTATGGAGACATCAGGGGTCTTGCAGACCCCTAATGTCACCTAGGAACCCCAAAGAAGCTGAGGAAGCAGAGATCTGCTTCCCCAGCTTCATCTCCTGGCTCTAAGAGCCGGAGACTGTGTACAGTGACACCGGAAGTGATGTAATACACAACAATGTTATTTGTTAGCACATGCACATTTCAGCATAAATGGTTGGCTGCTTCTGCTGCTTCTCCCTGTCCAAGCTCTGCAGTATAGGGATTCCAAAAGGCTAAAACTAGCTCAAATTTAGGTACTGATGAGTTACTGAATACATGCATTATATTGTGTCCTTCTATATATACCTGGAGTGGGAAGTTAAGTATTTTTAAATATGTAAAATCACAGAGATTAGGGGTAGAAATCATTTATACAGGGGGGTACTGGCAAAGTATTGATATGTGAAGGGCATGCTTGGTAAACGCTGGCTTTTTTAATGGGGCATATACTTTCATAACAGTGCACTGCTATAGTGCACATTGCTGTATACTACTAAGTATGAGAATTTCTGGCCCTTTTAGTAACATAAAGCGTTAATAAAAGTAGTCTTTCGAGTTACACCAGTTCCTGTGTAAATCACCCACTGCTGTCATCTTAATAAATTCAAAATGTTTTACTACAGTGGAATGTACTCTGTATATATGTGTGTGCTTTGTACATCAAAATTAAACACAGTGGAGGCAAACAACTTGCAGCAAAGTTCTAAAATTACAAGTCCAGTCAGCTGCAATATAAAAAAATGGTTATCATATAATTAATCAAAAGTAATAGTCCAACAAAGGATCACATCCTTTCCCACTTTATCAATCGTAGAAAAAATATTTTGGCTTGACATATACTTTTAAAGCTGCATTAATATCAAGAAATGTAACAATCCAGGTTGTATCAATTCATTATTGTATAATGTTCTGCAGATTGGGAAATTTCCTCATGCATATATTCAGAAGAACCAAAGAATATAATAATGCAGCCACTTTTTGCTCTTCACTGCTTACAAGGCCATACACTTGTCCCTGTGCACACACTCTAAAGCTCTCCATACACTGGTCAAATTTTGTATGAAGGTTTCCTCAGAACATATGACAATGTCATTAGATACTGTAAAACAGTAGAATGTCCTTCGAAATTTTGTTAGATTTTGTACCATTTGATTTTGGAATGAGTGAAGTTTCCCGAACGAAAACCTCATACATTGTTTGAATTCCATATGTTTGAGAAAATGTTTCCATACTGCTCCTTCAGTTTTTGTAAGGTTGAGTGGGGATTCGGCGCTGCACTACGACCTTTCTCTAGTCCAAATAGGAACAATATTTGGGCCTGATGGCTTGGTTCTGGCAGCACTTCATTGGGGACCGTTTAGAGGGGGGATAACTAGAATAAAAAATCCATGTGAAAGAAGAGTAAGAAAGAACGGCAGGTAATGGTCTCATGAGTCAAAAAAACCTTTATTGTCTCCACAAATGGTGACAAGAAAATATACACAGCCAACATTTTTCGGGGTCAGGAATCCCTCTTCAACGGGGCTTAAACAATAGACAGTGGGACATTCATGGACTCTAAACAGTCCCTGCAGACAATCCCCCACCTTATCAACCGGGTCAACAATGGACATCATTCACCAATACCCCCTTATCACCCGGAACAACCTCCTTGATCACCAATACCCCCTTATCACCTGGTTCAACCATGGACATCACCAATACCCCCATTATCACCCGGGACAACCTCCTTGATCACCAATAGCCCCCTTATCACCCGGGTCAACCTCCTTGATCACCAAAACCACCCATATCACCCAGCTCAAACTCCTTGATCACCAATACCTTCCTCTTATCACCCAGGTCAACCATGGACATCACCAATACCACTTTCTCAGGCAGGAGTGGAAATCCTTGGTGTGAAGAGATCTTTACCAGTTTAGAATATGTACAAGTCTAATTTAAATTTCCAATTAAAACTTCATTTTTTTTTCATCACTGTTGAAAACTATCATTTGAGCCCATTGACTCAATAATGAGAAAATCGAATGAACGTTCCAAAAACTAATTTTTTCATTCATTAATTTCATTAATTCTACTGGTGTATAGCCAGATTAATCCTCCTGTTAGCTCAAAGTCTGTGAACAGAGCGGAAATGTAAAATAAGATGACTGGTGGCACCTAAGCATAGAATAATTTTGCATATGGAGATTTTTTTTACAGTGAGTTTAGAAGCTTCTCCCTATAGCTGTAGATCCAGTGTAACTTTTATTTATGACCCAGAGCTCTACTTTAACCTGAGCTGTCTACCGTATTTGCCGGCATATAAGACAACTTTTTATACTTAAAAACATCCCCCGAAAATCGGGGGTCGTCTTATACGCCGGGTATACAATCTAATCTGTCAGCCCACTGGATGTGCAGTAATACTGTATGTATGGTAGCTTCGGCTACATACAGTATACCGCGCTGAGCCAATCACGGCGAACGATCTACATAACCTCTGCCAATCCGAGCAGGCTTTGTATTCATTAATAGAATACATAGCTCGCCGGGCCCCATACATCACCCGCAGGGCCCCATACAGTATTACCGCACATCCAGCGGGCTGACAGATTAGTGGGCATATTTAAACATTATTTTGGGCTATACTTGTCTTATAATTTTTAAGTTAAAACCTATGTTTTAACTGAAAAATTAGGGGGTCGTCTTATACACCCAGTCGCCTTATACGCCGGCAAATACGGTAGTTAAAAGCCTTTTTTTAACACAACAGCTGAAACCATGCTTTATTTTGAAGATAAATCTGCACTGTTGTTTTTTGCTTTGTCTTTTAAAATGTATATAGAAGCCGCCAGAGAATGCACACAGAGAAAAGAGTAAATGAGGGCACTGGATGGGAGATTCTGGAATCTTAGAGTGCAAATGTGGCTTTACAAAGTGCAGACAGACAAAGAATAACAGATTCATGTACCTGTCAACCTGAACATTCTCTATGCATTTCCCGGGCCTGAACAATTGAAGCTCAACATCCCCATGGAAACAGTGCCAGTATATTACACTGTAGGAGAACAGAAGATAAATAAATGGCTTCATATCTGTGTATATATATATCTATCTATATATAGATATAGATATATAGATATATCTATATCTATATATAGATAGATCTATATATATATTCAACTTCAATAACCAAAAACAAAATTGTATAACGTGTGAAATTGCAGGAACAATGCATTAAACAGCATTAAAAGCAAAAAAGCACAAAATATGCATAAATGAAGTAAGACTAAGAGATTTACCTGTAAGTGCTATAATAACTGTATTTACAAACAGGGGTGCCATTTGTTATCGCAACCCTTCAAACGATATAATCAGAAGATTCCAACCACCTTACAAGGTTACAGAAACACAAATATCAAATACTCTATCACTCTAATGTACTGGGGTGGGGGAATTTGTCAATACTGCAGAAGACAGAATATGCAATATGCCCATGGCAACCAATCAGCTTCTCTTTTCAGTTTATTAAGCATTGAAAGTGAAAGAGAGAACGGTCACCATGGTCAGCTGCTCCAGATTCTGTCTTCTCCAGTTTTGATAAATTCCCCACAGAAAATGGAGCAGTTGTCCATGGCAACCAATCAGCTTCTATTTCTCATGTTTAAAGCTTAAACAAACTGAAGAGAAAAGCTAACTGGTTGCTATGGGCAACTGCTCCATATTCTGTCTTCTCCAGTTTTGGTAAATTCCCCACTGTGTCTATTCTTTTAATACACTGTAGTTAAAAAGTTGTTGGGGGTAATTTATCAAAATTGGGACAGAAATCTGGAGCAGTTGTCCATGGCAACAAATCAGCTACTATCTCTCATTTTTAAAGCTTAAACAATCTATAGAGAAAAGCTAATTGGTTGCTATGGGCAACTGCTCCAGATTCTGTGTCCTCCAGTTCTGATAAATTCCTCCCATTGCATCTTATTAAACTGATGAATTAGCTGCTGATCATGAAAGCGATTATTAATTAGTATTAATACATTATAATGAATTAGTAACATTTTGTGAGAACCCCACAGCAAGGGCTGATCATGTGTAACTACACCTGTTTGTATAACAGTTTATTTCCTATATTACCATTTTTTGCTGCTATGAAAAGCAGATAACAGTTCTGTGCTGAGGTCTCTCTGGGAATATTATGTTTATTTCTAGCTCATTAGTTTAAGCTTTGTCGCCCAGCACTCCAGGACAGCCCCCATATCATCTGTCGCCAGAAACACACACTGGGACTTGTAGTTCAACAGGTGCTCTAAGCTTGTTTATGTGATCTCGATTGACCTGATCCTCCTGACAAGACAAGCATATGGAGCTGTTACTCACCGGTGTGAGCCAAGCATCTCATCTCTGCGGTGCACACACAAGAGCCTCGCTCTCCCAGGGACAGGTGCTTGCTGGTTCCTTATGGCTGCAACACGGATTTGTCATGCGTGTCATCACTGATTGTTATTCAAATAAGACATCCCCCATCCACCAATCAGAAAGCTCTGTTACCTTTACATCCAGCAAAAGAGCTGCTTCTGGATGCAGCGTGGTACCCAGTCATATGATAATGAGGAGCACATCACATGCAGCTATAGTGCTTTCTATACCAGGGATGCTCACACTCATATCCCAGCCTTCAATGTATTCCAGTGCAGAGCTTTTCCAGGAAGTAACGTGTATGCAGCACATAACAGACTGTGTATACAACTCATTGTCAGTGAAGTATTTTAAAAATCTCAGCCGGCTTTGTGTTGCCGATGTACCCGGCATGAATGCGTCAAAGTGCTTAGTCAGGACAACTCACATCTTCAGAAAAAAGCTCCTTTAATGCATTAAAACACAATATATAGCATGATTCCTGACTAACTACCAATTCTACTAAAAAGGTGCATCACAACACTCTGGGTGAAGATAAATCACACAAAAATCACAATTAACAAAATGTTTTTCTTGTTTTGTTTTTTTTGTAGAGTCGAATGCAGATTATCAAGTCCACTGTATATGTACGTATATAAAGAAACAGAACATACTGGGGGGGATTCATGAAAACTGGAGCAGACAGTTTTCTTATGGCAACCAGTGGTGGAACTATCGTTACAGCGACTCAGGTGGCCGCTATGGGGCCCGGGGCACAGGGGGGGCCAGCCAGAACAAGGAACAAAGGGGTCCCCCTGATGCCGTGCGGGCCGCCTGGGTCGCTATGGCAGGCTGCTGGCTGTCACTGGCGGCTGTGAGGAGGAACGCGCCGCTCTCCAGATCACTGACAACCTGTCTGTGATCTGTGCAGCGGTGCTTACCTACTCACAGCTGCTGCTGAGTCAGTGATAGCCAGCAGCTTGCGGTGGAGGAGGCCAAGGGTATGGCGGCGGCAGCGGAGGAGGAGGCGGGGCCTGGCAATGGTAAAGGAGCTGGTGGGCCCATCGGCGACCAAGGAGGAGGAGGGGGCCGTCGGTGGAGAAGGCTGGCAGCGGATCAAGGTTGACAGGTAAGAGGTGTGCATGGGTGTGACCAGCCCACCTGAATCTATGGTGGGCTCTGCAGGGTCACTCTCAGGTCGGCTGTGTGGGATCTCAGGAGGGCTCTGATAGGGGTGTAACTAGAAATCACAGGGCCCCATACAACATTTTGCTATGGGGCCCTGTGATTTCTAGCTACGCCCCTGATGGCAACCAATCAGCTTCTGTCTTCAGTTTGTTCACTTAAGCTTTGAAAATGAAAGAGAGAAGCTGATTGGTTGCCATGGGCAACTGCTCCAGATTTTGCCTGCTCCAGTTTTTATTTTTATCTCCCCCCACCGTGCAGCTAGGGTAGGCAAGCTCCGGCTGTGATGACACTACAAATCATGTATATGTCTCTGGGAGTCATGCCTGTGGCTGTCAGAGTTTTACAACGCCTCATGAGAGTTGTAGTTCCACAACAGCTAGCGTGCTAAGGTTGTCTATCCCTGCAGTACAGTATACAGTAGTAGATGCATGGTCAAAATTAATGAATACTGCCTCACAGTCGAAAACAGTGTTCAGTTATAGGTGAAGTGCTATTTACATTATAGGCGAAAGGCTGTTTATTTATAGGTGAAGTGCTATTTAGTTATTAGTGGAGTGCTGTTTATTTATAGGTGGAGTGCTGTTTATATGTGAAAGGATATTTATTTATTGGTAGAGTGCTGTTTATTTATAGGTGAAGTGCTATTTATTTATTGGCAGAGTGCTGTTTATTTATAGGTGAAGCGTTATGTATTTATTGGTAGAATGCTGTTTATTTATAGGTGAAGCGGTATTTATTTATTGGCAGAGTGCTGTTTATTTATAGGTGAAGCGTTATGTATTTATTGGTGGAGTGCTGTTTATTTATAGGCGAAGCGTTATGTATTTATTGGTAGAGTGCTGTTTATTTATAGGTGAAGTGTTAAAATTAGAGAGTTGGTAGAGTGCTGTTTATTTATAGGTGGAGCGTTATGTATTTATTGGTAGAGTGCTGTTTATTTGTAGGTGGTGCAAGAGAAGCCCCCCTCAGGGTCCACCAGTTATGTGACACATAAGGAACAATAGGATAAAAAGGTTAAAAATTAAAAAAAATTATTAAGTGGAGTCCATCTGGTCTTGTCACAATGCAGAGTTAGGATGAAAACTGTCACTGAAGATTAACTCCAATCTGAAGTTGCAAGAGTCAGTAGCCCTCAAAGTATTCCTTAATAGTTGCAATGATAAGATAAGAGCTCCCAGCTTCTGTTGCAGCCATATGTTTTGTTAACTGGAGAGGATAACAATCGGAGGGGTGTGTTTTAAGGTCCCCACACACCTTACGATAATCGTACGATAATCGCGGGAAATCCCGCGATCGTACGATTATCGTAAGGTGTGTGAAAGCCGTGCGACCTCTACTACTGTAAGGTCGCACGACTTTACACTTACGGGCATGTTCGAAAACCCACCGAGCATCGTACAATGTTCGGCGGGTTTGTGGCATGTCAGTACGATAACAGCCGTACGGCCGGTGTGCGCAAGCGCACACTGCCGTTCGGCATTGCGGTCATCGAAAGCCCGCCCCTCAGGGGGCGTGGCTTGCGATCATCTCAAGTACGATCTGCCTATGCAACATAGGCAGATCGTACGTTTTTTAAAATACCTTACAACCATCGCAAGACAAAAGTCTTGCGATGGTTGTAAGGTGTGTGCCCAGCCTTAGGTGTGCTGGAGTATTTTATTATGCCCAGCAGACCCTTAATGCCAACAATCTTAAACCCATTCCATATTTCCAGATGACAAGTTTTCACAATCTTCAAATCAGCCATTTTATTTAGCAGACTGAAATTCTGAATTGAAATTCTGAACCAAACAATATATACAATATATATAT